GAGAACCACGACTTCGACTGGGACAACTCCAAGATCCTGGGACAGGCTAGGCAGAGACAAGCACGAGAATTCCTGGAAGCATGGCACTCCACGAAGCAGGCTATTAATAAACACATTGAACTCGACCCCATATACATTCCACTACGGAGGAAACCCGGAAGTGGGGCAATCCATCGCAACGGACCCCAGAGTTTAAAAACCAGGCGGGAAAACACACCGACGCTTCATCAGAGGCTGCACTGAGGATGTTATCAAGCACGGTAACGAAACGTCTGCGGAACAACAAACCAGCTGGGCGAGCCAACCAACCTCAACATTTCAGTGAACTGTCGTGTGGTGGTGATTCATAGTCTTGGTGAATGCCAAGTGTCACTGGTACCACCTGCACATGCACAAGCAGCGGCAGCCATCTTTACCAGCCAACTTGGCATTTGCTGTACACGCTACAAAGTTATTATAACCTTTTTAAAGAAGATAATGTCACAGAAATATGAGCTTAGAACAGCCAATGCAAATAGTTGTGGAGCAAACAGGAAATCAAGTTTACGCTGCTTTTTTTTTGTTGGAACATAACTGACAAACTAGACTTTCAGTTTCCAGCACTAGGACTTTTTTGACTGTAACTGTACAAGAATTTTTCTCATCATAACTTAAGTACAAACCACTCAAGATTTCATATAAAGAAAGATTCATTGAGCTGATAGCATAAGTTGATGCACCAAACTACCTGGTTGTTTATTTGACAAGAAGCAGACAGTTCATAATGTAATGGATTTAGTGGATTAAGAGCAATAATGACAGTGATTACATATCCAATTATAATTACCTGTAGAAAAGTTCCTTCAGTGTTCCATAGTTTGAAGATAAATCCTAGAGGTATACAAATCATGGAAGAAAGAGCCAGAGCCCATCCTACAGCGTAACCCCAGTTTGGATAGACATATGTGTTGTTATATTTAAGTGGTTTATATCTCACAATGAAGAAAATGAAAATTGCCTGAAAGATAAACAATTCAGTAACATTTAAGATAAATATTTGCTTCAGATATTCTAATGTGCTCACGTAAAACATCCGAAACTTGCTTCCCAAATATTTCACTTAGAATTCAATTATCCTGCAATACTGAAAAAAACTGTTTTGCAGAAGTAACAATTTGCTCTGGTTAATGCTTCAGGATAATGATTGTTTGTGACGAAGAATGCTTAACCCTATGTTACTTTTGTTTCACTCTCCTGCTAAGAATTTCCAGCATTGTTTGTTAAGTTTCAGATTTCCAATTTTAGTGCGGCTCAAATCTAACTCTGGTGTCAGATTCTGATCCGACTCCACATCTTGGACACCCTTAGGAAAGTTACTGCTCAAAGCTTTATCATGTTACCGGAGGCAGCACGACTCCAGTTCAATGTCACTCCAGACTTGTGAAACAACTTTCTCTTACAAGAAATTTAAGAAGTAAGATGTTCAAAATTTACTACTCATGGGATCAGCTAGCTCAGTTTGTTGATCAACTGCTTTGCCATGCAGTGACATCAATTCCAGTAGCAGCTGAGCTTACCATTACAGCCCCACTTTCTCAACCTCACCTGAGGGATGTTAAACCACCACCATTTGTTTCTGTCTGATCAGGCAGTGGGACTATAGTGACTTTATGTTTACTGCACACACATTCTGTTACTTGGGTTTTCAGTCGTTATTTGGTTGCATTCTTTGCTTCTTGGCTTCATATCCAATCAATCTGAAACATTCGCCCAATGTCCCCAGTTGCCTCATTGTGAACAGTTGTGAACAAGGGAACTGTGACAGGATGATAGATGTTCTGTTCCCAGAGGCAGCTAATCAGGAAGCAATTGCTGGGAGCCCTGTCTTTCAGGGAGAGTAGTCAGGTTCTGGTGTTGGGAGGTCCAGTCAGTGGGTAAGACCGTCAACCATGTCTGTGACTAATGCCTGGCCATCAGCCGAGATGGCAGTGGTGTGATTGAGGGAGTAGTGGCTGTCATGACAGCAGGGCATGAATCAGAGGATACCTTGGTCTCTACAAAGTGACTGCAACAGGACACCCGCTGCCCAGGGATACATCCTTTCTGTCGCTTACAGCTGGCAAATAACTTTAAACCCTTAAGTGTATTGCAGTTTAAACCACCCACTGCAAGTCCAGCTCCACTGCAGTTTCTGATGTCAGATTTCCAACATCCACAGTGTATTGTCTCTGGACCAGTCTTCACAGCCTGTCTTGTTTTCTACCCCTTTGCAAAATATAAACCCAGCAGACATATATTTTCCTAATAAAAATAGCATCAATCAAATTCATGCTCTGAAGAGATAAGTATGTAATTCTAAACATAAATACATGCATAAGTTATGAACACTAAAGAAGCCAAGTGTAGTTGGTGCACAGTAAGATTGCAAACTAAATATTAAAAAAGAAATTAAAATAAAAATAAATACTATGTAAATGATTACAAATAGAGGATGTAAGGCGCAATAATAATGTAAAATATCTAATTCTGAGAACAATTTGTAAGTTTTTTTAACTGTGTAAAATAAAAGCCTTTGACAAAAGGTGCAGCAACAGCTTAAGAACTTACTGAACATATACCAGGAGTGATGAAATTCCAGCACCATTTAATTAAAATGAATGGCCTGTACCCAATCATGTCTTCAATATTATCATAGAATCTATTGCTTCCTGTGAACATAAGAAGTATCAAGAAAATATCAAGTATAACATTATACATAAGATAGGCCGTCTCATTATCTGGATGATTTAATATTAGTGCAACATTTCACAGTCCTATTAGCCTGAATCGTTCAACTAACATATTTGGTTTACAATTTGTCTTGCATACATACAGGATAGAATACTGTGGATACATTTTATTTCAGGAATTAAGATAAGTTATTCCATCAATCTGTTGTATAGAGCTCAGGAGACATTTTGTATGCAGGGAACTAGATATTTCCATAGATTCTGAAATACTATGTGTTAGTGACACTGTCTGGTTCTTTTTCTTTCTGAAATTAGCTTACAATAAGTAGAAAGCTTACAGATATACATGTCTGAAATTGTAAAGATGGAGCAAGACAAAGGTAGAAAATATTTAATATTTTCCCCTTGAAATACCATGTTTAAAAACTCTCATCTCCACAGTGTCACCAGCTAGCTGTAATTTACTCATGAATACTCATAAGCTTTCCTAAGAGGCTCACAAAATAAACTGACAATCGTGTTTTGTTGAGAGGCCATGCACTGGCTTTATGACTAAAATGGCCATCCTGTGTATTTGTCAATTTCCTTTGAGGAGGAAGATCTACTACGTAATAACAAAAACAGTAACAATTTGTCATTTTTGAAACCAGGAAGATTTCAGTACAGACCTTCCAAACATATTTTGTGATTTTGTGACCCAGATTTTGTGACCATTAGCGGCCCTTTCTGCTGACTTCACAAAAGCTTCTCACAAAGACCTAGCAAATTTTTATGGCATAGAATTAATTACAGTGCTAGTGATAGGGGATCTCTGGCATTTAGTAATAGCAATATAATCAAGCAGGCTGCACAACTATATTAAAGAATTCTAACAGACAGCAAATCAGGAATGAAACAGGCAGATCTTTTCAATAATTTTCCAGAAAACAAAGATTAGAACAAATGGGATTAATGTGGAAGTCAAAAATATCATAAAAACTTTTTTTTTGGATTACTTTAAACATACGTGTAATTTTTAACATGGAATGGGGAAATATGATGCCGCACAAATATAAATTATGTCTTTATGATTGGAGGGGCTATCGAACACTAGGAATGACTTAGCATTCTGCAATAAACCTGGTTGAACATGATTTAAATGGGGCAACCTTTACAAGGGTTTTACAGCTAAAAAATAGTGACAATGTGGAAACTCACATCAATTCATTAATTTCTAATTATTTCCATCAGCAAGCATTTCAATAGCACATCCTATGAAGGAATAAGAGATTGTTGAGAGCAAGGTGTGGGGCTTTGCATCTAGTGGTGTATGCATATGACATAATTTACTGTCAATTTTGCATTAATGACAGTGAACAATGTCCATTTCACCATCCTTATACCCATAAATTCCCAGCCATTAGTACAAAAGATTTGTGCTTTTTTTTCTCTGATGCACACTACAAGAGTTTGAAAAGTTTAGGCTGCTTTACAACAGCACCATCTACTGTCTCATTAGTATCGCAGCCTCCTACATTCATTTGTAAACATCTTAAAACATAGAAACATTGAGCAGGAGCAGGCCATTCGGCCCTTCAAACCTGCTCCACCATTCAATCTGATCATGGCTGATCATCAAACTCAACAGCCTAGATTGTCTTTCTTTCCAGATTTCAGAAAAATAAACAATAATGCCAGAAGTAGTATTATTTATTATTATATATTTGTATAAATGTAGTTAATAGAAGTGGCATTGTACGTTGCTTTTCAACACTAGTTATTAATGGCATAAAATTTCAACATCTCCTGCCAGTGGGTTTGCAGGTGAGGGGGCCTATAAACTATCTTAGGGGCCTTGTAGCCATCTTGCTGTGTCCTCCCAACTTGTCGTAATTTTAAAGGAAGCCTGCTTTTGCCCCAGTTGAGGCCTTGAAGTGACATTATACACTGGCCACTAATGGAGGGGGATGCAAATCCCCTTGCTTGGCCCACAGGCAAGAAAGGGGTCACCTTCATTGCTAGCTCTTTTTCAAACTGGGTAATGTCACCCTTTCCACAAAGTCTGCTCACCTCCTGGGTGCATCCCCATTTGTGGTCTCTCCATCAAGACCCTCACCCTCCTCTCCCCACCATGCACAGCCTTCCCTTCCCGTCTCCACTGAGATGCTGTTTCTACCTGATCCTGAGGGCTCATGTTCAGAAACTGGAGACTGATTGTATTTGCAGCAGTGACCACCACTCCCCAGTAGGTTTGTGGGATTACAGAACTGCCAGCCAACCTGAATAGCCAACAACCTTCTGAGGCAAGACTTGCTCTTGATTGATGGATGTGAATTTGACCTCTAGTCTTAGCCTGGATTTTGGATTACTAGTTCAGTAATGTCACATCTCATAAGAACATAAGGAATAGAAACATGAGTAGGCCATTCAGTCCCACAAACCTGCCCTGTTATTCAATAAGCTAATGCTGATCTGTCCCAAGCCTCAACTCCTCTGTCATGCGACCTCCTCATTGCCTTTAGCTCCCTGATATTTCAAAAATCTGGCAACCTAATCTTTAAATGCTTTCAGTGTTCTATCCTCCACAACAGTCTGGGTAAGGAATTCTAATCATTTCTCCTCAATATCTACCCTGACAAGCCCCCTCAGAACCTTTAAATAGGAGCAATCCTCTTTAATGAATAAAGGCCTAACCTGTTTAGCCATTTTTGATAAATCAACCTCTTCATCCCAGGATCAGCCTAGTGAATCTCTTTTGAATTACCTGCAACGTTAATATATCCTTTCTTAAATAACAAAACTGTACACAGTACTCCAGGTGCGACTCACTAACACCCTGTACTGTTGTACCAAGACTTGCCTATTTTTAAACTGTAAATTCCTAACTTTAAAAACCAAAATCTATTGCTATCTTAATTAGTTGCTTAACCTGCGAGGCATTTTTTTGTGATTTATTCACAAAAACATGCAGATTATTCAATGATCATTCAATGTGTCCTATTCAGTGCTAACTTCTCTAATCTCATTTATGGAACATTTTACTTTTCCATTGGCTATTGTCAGACATAAATGCCAAATATTATCATTTTTCAAATCACTGGAATAATGCAATGTTGTTGAAATTATGAATGTATGAATGACTTGTACACATCCTGAAGTAGCTGATCAGTTTTATCTTAATCATCTCAGGTTTTAATAATTCAAGGTTTAAACACCAATCCACTGGCAAAGATAAAACATATTGTGATTGACTTACCATAGGCCCATCCTATACAAATGCACTCAAAAATGGCCACAAAGAGAAGACACATGCCACTTGAAGCATATGCATCAAAAAGCTGGAAAACGTACATTCCTCCCTTCCAACAGAAAGAAAACAATTTAGCATTTCATTTTTCTGGAAAATGCTTACATAGTTTTGCTACTGTACATTTGATAATTGCTCTACAGAAATTCTAAGCTATGCCTGGAACTGTCTCACTGAAAATAACTTAAGTTGATTGTAATCCAAATTTACGTCATTTAAAAACAACGGTAGTCAACAATGGACTGATAAATGTAAATCAATACAATAAATGTCAGTTCAAAAGATTGATCTTATATGGAACAAAAGAATTAACTAGCATCTGAGGAAATGTTTTCTTTCTTATAACCCTCATGATTTCATAATATCCAAGTTATTTCAATTCGAAAACATTGAAGGGTCAGGTCAATTTTTGTTTTTGGTGGATAGGTGTTGAGTGGGATGTTGGTGGGACTCCCAAACAATTCACTTCAGTAAGAATCCTGAGTTGTCATTGCATTTGAGTTCCTCGTGGTTCCACAATAAAATTGTTAGAAAAGAACTTACCTGAGTATTTTTGCTGCAGCTTCTAGCAGTCCCTTTCAGGACCAATGTTCACACCACTGCATGCTGAGTTCCACCTAGCCAGGGTTTGGGCAGCCCACCTACAGTCCTTTCTGACACTAAACCTGCATTGCAGTTGTTTGCATGCCACAGGATCCTGATGTGTGTAAATCCACGAGATTCCCACCTAATCTGGGTAGGATGCCAGACACCTATTATTTGACTAGCTACGAAACTGTGGTGGGTGGACGGGTTGTTAACTGTAGCTGCTCAGTAATTTTTGTCCCACTGCTGTCAAAAACCATCATAAAATGGGGTGATAATGAGACCAAATTGGCCCCTGTGATTTTCTCCTGGTATCTTCCTGTTCAGGTAAGAAATGGGAAAATAACAGAGATAAATGGCCCCCTGCAATGTTGTACATTGATCTTTTAAGGTTGCCCATTTGAACTGGTTAGTTTACTTTCTAAACTGCTCCTGCCCTGTGTCTTAAACACACAGCCACTCATGGAGGAAGCAGACCCCTCCGTAGCTTCCAAATCCTATTGTGACCCTTGGAATAAGATGCAGCCCAAGAGACATGCATCCAGTGTCATTGACAAAGTATTACCTTTTTTTTTTCCTGTGGTAGCCCTTCCAGGGAGAATCTATTTAAGAGGAGCAGAGTATAATGTATTCTGTAGTAGAAAAAGTAATTTCTTTAGAATAAGTAAATTTTTTTTGGATTCCTTAAAGAATAACTTAGAATATGATAAAGCTAATTATAGCTTGCTCATGCAGCCTACTCCTCTTATTTGGAGGTGATTAATCAAATATTTTACCTGTGAATCAGGATTAGACTGTTGACAACATTTTGTTCTGAACAATTCAATGGGAGTTTGATCTGCAATATCATTTCCTGTATTATAAACCTAACATGACAAAATGCAATAGAAATGAACTTTGCATTCAAAAATAAGAGTATCCATGAATGAGTGTACAAAATTAAGTGGAATAGGCTACATTGCAACCAGGTTAGATTGTTTGTCTCCACTGGGACTTTACTGCATAACACAGGATAGAGGCAAGTACTTCTACATGACAAGGTCACTCTGTAAGCATATTGTGGCCCTGTCGTAAAACACTAAACAGCTTCCTAATCCTCCAATATAGGTGGCATGAAGCACATTCTCATTATGAGCTCATGTATGCTTCCTCCATGATGGCATAAGTAAAATAATATTTTGTGTCTAGGTCTATTTTATATTCGAATATGGGGGCTTAAGACATGCTTGCAGCTTCCTCTGCAATATTAAGTTGGCCTGAATGAAGTTGATGCCATGCTGACTGCTTTCAGAAATATCGTCTGTGGCCTCAACAGATGGTCCCTAATCAGGACCGTGTGTGGCCACAAGTAACAAGTGTTTAAAATGTACTTACCTGAATGTTGAGCCTGGAGCTCTGTATTCAATAATGAAGTCCACTGTCAGCCACTACTTCACACACCCACACTTTCACTCTGCAAGATCACAACCCCTATTGATACCTATCTCTGCTCTCTCCATTCCTGGTCTCTGCCACTAGCCACTCTTCCCAATCACTGCTCTCCAGTTCCTTCCAGCCACCAACATTCCCCTGACTGGATTTTCCAACATTTCAACCATAATCGATTGGATATTCCCCAGGCAGACCCTTACCTCCTCCTGCACTATTTTCCAGTTTCATTTAAGGACTCACCTGAGGGCTGCTGCTGGGTTTTGGGCAGCCCAATTCCTCACGGGTGGTAAACAGCCTATTCTGTGTCCAAAGGTCACCAGGTCAATGATGACTATGATGATCAGATTATGTGTATTATCACATTCTCATTCAGGGCCTTTTTTTTTAATTGCTTCAATTTTCCTAACATATATTTTAATAGTTTATAGCTTTTTTTCCCTCTATTGTATATCCAAAGAAATTGTCTCAATGTCACCAATTATGAATGATCTCATACCCAAATGGCAGTTAAATCATTATTTTATTACTTTGAATAACATCTTATGAAACACACTAAATAAAACATCTTAGTGAAATCACTCACTCAGTTTGTGGAGACTGGAACTTGTAAATTGATTTTCAGAAACACGGTTAGATTGACACATCAGATTAGAGAATGTAATTAACTTCATTGCTTTTCAAATTTAATTGACTCAACTTATAACCATTCAATTTTTGTCATATCAGTATCTGGTACTTTGAAAGGAAAGTACAATTTGTTCTGCATTTTGCTATTTTTCTTTGCAATGAAGCTGATGATTCCAGCATGAATATTGTTTTCAGATCTTTTGTGCTCCTCAACTCTTATAGCTGCTCCTTAGACCAGGCCTTATCTGAAAAGATCTATGGATTTACCTTACACTTTTTTCTAAATCCCTGATCTTGGTCACAACATTCTACTTGCACTGTTTTTCACTGCTTTCATCTACTTCTTCTGGCATGCTCCACCAATTTCTCAGGACAGATCTGCTCATCTCTGGATGAATCTCTGATGACTCCTGGTCAACTCTTTATTCCCCCTTGGCTAACAATGGATTGGTTCCTCCTTGTCCTCTGTTTTTGACGAAGTTGCACTGTCCTAATCTCTGCCATGACTGTACAGTTGAAAATCCTTTCTGTCCATTTGCTTATGTGTTGGATATGAGCCCATTCCTATTCTATATCCCTATTATCTTTCCTTTCTCTTACCAAACAGTTCAGGCCACCTCAAGAATTTTGTTCTCTCAGATACATATTCCAAACTACTTCTACTTTCATGCCTTTTTTGCTCACCAGCCCATATCCATCTTTGAGTTTTTCTTGGCATTCTTCAAAGGGTTTATAAGGTACCCACTGCTGCCTTCTAATTAGCAACAATGCCCTCCAGCCAAACCTGTCTCTCACTTCCATCCAAGCTTAACATTCATACTCACTAATCACAAGAACCTCCGCTCTGCACCTTCGCTTGGCCACACTTTCTATCATCAAAGGTGCTGTCATGGTAGTGTGATGCCCTTCATTAAATCATAATTGTGTCTCCTCCTAACTTCTCCTGGGACCTTCAACATCTTTGAGAACTCTAACTTGTTTATCCTTCCTGCTTCTCCTTTAAAATCCTTTTTGTCTAAAGTAACCTTCCATGCCTTACGCTGATTTTCTGACTAAGTTATTCTTTCAATTATCATCCCTGAAGCAAGAATGCTGAGTGACTGCTCACCCTCTGGGATTTCAGTCTCCCCTTCAGATCTTCATTATTCCTGCTTTCCCTAAAAATTCCCCATTTTGTATAAATTGTCCAATGTGTGGATCCTTAAATTTGTCTACTTCTCCTTACTGGTGGCCTTGCCTTTAGCTCTGGACCCCATGTTTTGGACTTCTCTATTTAAACCTTTTAGCTTCTCCAACTCCATATTCTCTCTTATGACTCCCCTGAAAACATACTTCTTATCAAGCTGCTAATCACCCTTCGATTAAAGTCGTCTTTAGCTCAGTATCCATTTATTTTTCATTTATGCTTTCATGAAACATTTCTCATACTACAAATGTTAATTTCTGCAGTTGCTTTTATACAATAAAATAAAAACAGTTGCTCTAATTGATACAATCTGTAAATGATTTGAAGGGTGTTCACCTTAACATATTCTTAACATAAAAATCTAAAACATGAACAAAAAGCTTCAGGTTAATTAGCTTACCTCTGTTACCATTATTAATCCAATCAAATATGACACAACTGCAATAATGCAAATCAGCTGTTCTCTTCTGTATCCCACACGGAATACCTTAGGATACATGTCTATTACAGCTGTTACCAGACTTTCCATGCAGACAAACTACAAGAAAAGAGTGACAATACTGAAATTCATGGCCATATTGTGTATGCAAAATTACTTAATAGAGCATCAAACCAGTGAAATCCCAATGGACATTATGGCTAATTGTATCACAACTCTTGAGTATTTTATCCCTTGGGATTAGAAGGATGTAATCACTGTTCTACATAAAATAATGAAGTGAATAAACAGGGAAGAAGCACAGGAAATTATTTTTCTGCTGGGAGCTCCAAAACAAGGAAGCAAAACCCCAGAAGATAGAGTAGGACGGTTAGGTTGACAATTTTTGAATGGGCACAGTAAGTTAAAGGAAAGGAGTTGGAAATGATACAGGACATCGAGATGAGCAAATGTAAGAAATAGAAACACTATTCAGAAATGCTGGAGAGAAGACAGCTAGTAGTTGATCTTGGAACAGGTACAACAAATTTCCTCAATAGATGGGGAACCAGTGGAGTGATAACTCAAAGGCAATTTTGCATGAGTTGATACCACAAAAATAAATGAATAAAACTGACTCAGTATTTTGTTATTAATTAATCTTTGAAAACACCTCACTATGTACTTTCACAAAGACATTCTTTAATTTCACAGTTACCTTAGCAATTTTAAAACAAAGCCGTCAGTGTGGTAGGTAACTATCAACATGAAATCACATATTAATGACTTAATAAACTCAGTCAGCATTTCATTAACTTGGCTCTTAATTTCAACAACAGTTTCATAATTATGTATTGCTTAAATTATTGATTAATTTAAGAGCAAGGGTAAAAACCAAAGTAATAAATGTAAGGAAAAACTGGTTGTCTCTAAAATGGAAGAATGGTCATGAAAGAGACATTGAAATGAAGATAAAGAAGAAAATTGACTGTGCAAAACCAACTGGGAAACGCAGAGGAAATACTTTGAATAAATGCACATTTTAAAAAATTGTTAAATTTGTAAAGAATGGAATAATTAAAGGCATGTAAAATATGAGCTAATGAATGATTATTGTGGAAGACCTAATACGATTGAATGTGGCTGCTGCTAAATGCAAAAATACTGGGTTGTATCCACCACATAAACTGAGCTTGACCTCCCCGATTTAGCTCCTACCTTCAGATATGTCTGACTTGTATGGCCTTACCAGGCTTTATAGTCCTGACAGCATAGCATCTCTCAGGGTCACCTAATATCCATTAAATCATGCTGTAATCCCAGTGAGGGCAGACAAATGATAGCTTGGGAATGTGGGAGGCACAACAGCAAGATAAACTACCTCAGGCAGAGAATCCGAGACAACAAGGTGCAGGGCTGGATGAACACAGCAGGCCAAGCAGCATCATAGGAGCAGAGAGGCTGACGTTTCGGGCCTAGACCCTTCATCAGAAAAGGGGG